AATGATGCTGTCTAGGTTTGATGTCGAAGGTTTCGTTCATAGCTTACAAAGAGATGGGTCTCTTCTCGATACAACTTCTAATACAATCATTTAAGCACCATATGTAAAAAGGACATTTTGCAGAGGTGCAAATGAATAGATAAGCCAAAAGGTAGACTTTGAATGAACAGTTTTAGAGTGGAGAAAGAAGTAGTGGTAAAGGAAATTACGCGTCGTTTTCGGAAAAGCGATCTTTTATAGACACTTTTCTTGTTCTTCCTTTCATAATCGATAATTTTATCGCCAAATTTGTTTGGACAGTGTTAATCGAATATGTGTCGAGAATATTTTAACGATTTTAATCATTCCCGAATGGCTACTTCGAATAACAGCAGCGGAACCAGCGATGGTGCAGAAACAGTGCAGGGGGAATACGCCGAAGTCACTTCCAATTACCTCTACGACAATGAACAGCGCTTAAAAACGTGGCTTTTTCTGAAGGCTTTTGACAGCATTCATTCTTTCATTGAGTTTATAACTTTTTATGAGCAGATATACGTGAGAACCTCAAAACCTTGAAGTGAACCGAATTGACTATTGACGTCTACCAACATACAGGTAATGAGTAGGTAGAGGGTCAAGGTGGGTAGCAGGTTTGGCAACTTGACGACGAAACCGGATTCGGCCGTCTCGGTTGGTTTACTTTCTAACTCAGTAACCTAGATGCTAGTAGTCGCCGGAATTCCTTATCGAATTGCCCTCACAACATTTCTTCCCAGATTTACTGGAAAGCATCTTAGACCTTCAATGGACAGCCTTTAGCCTTTTTACTGCCTTACTATTCCCCAGGGTGAGGTAGGGCTCCATCGACTCCGTTTGAAACTTTTACTGATCTTTGAAAGCTCAGAAAAGTTCTTGTTTGGGGAGGGCGATTCCTCAATACTCTCCGATTTCTTCCAAACTTTTTGGTTCCGTTCCCGAGAGTTCTTTCCCAGTTAATCTGGGGTTATTCATTCAATAACCATTCCGCTTGATTGGTAGTTTCGTCTATTAATCCATATTGATTTATTCATCTAAATTCTCATCATAGAATTGATCAAAGGTCTCCTTCATCGTTACATCATGAGTCGATTACCATTTATTCGATTGAACTGTCAATTTGATTTCATTCTTTAGTCATCAGCTGTTTTGCATCGTCTCTGTACACCCGTACTTGCCCCTCTTGTCGAAGGACATCCTCAGAGTTTAATTTGTATTAGAGTAGTCACAGCTGTCTGGTCAGTTAGTTGGCTGGTTGATTCATCACGTCAGGTGGTGGTGTCTGCGGGCACAAATCCCCTTTAAAAAAAGACTGGTCCACACTGGTACCATGTGAATTTATTCGCTCATTAGCTTTTTTTCAGCTTGGCTCTCCCTTTTGGCTGACAGTTCTGTTTTGATAGTATCCTTCCGTATACGATTGCTTTCTCCCGTGCTCATTTCCATTTGATACGACCATTTATAATTGCTCGTCTTTTTCGTCCGATTAAAGTTTTTCTCATAAAATTGCCTACCCAATCGTTCAATTAAATTTCAGGTATGATATTCGAACTTTTCGCCATTTATGCATCAATTATACTTGGATGTATTATTTCCACAACCTCATTGATTCTATTGGACAAAAATTGGGGACCATTACCTCATTACTATCTACAATTCATTGAATGGATCCAAAGTTTCTATGGAAAAATCTATCCGGAAACGGACGAAGCTCCCTGGCCAGCGATCATCAAAAAGGTTCTTGTTTACGTTCTCGACCGGAGTGCTATTGAACTCATAGGAATGTTCAGAGTGTAAAAAATGTTCTGGCCCGTACGAAAGCGAGTTCATCGGCCGAATTTACGTTTCTTCTATCGCCAAGAAATCATTTGGAAATCTCGGTCGATGCAATACAGTCAGGAGTTGAAGCCATTATTCAGGTTTGCATATTCCGGAGTTCTCTATTGATTCAAGGACCGATGTGATTTAATCAATAGGATCCCTCTTCCACAAGTCCCCCCACCCCCCTCCCTTGCCATCGCTCCAATTCACCGTTGTTGGATTATAAGTGACCCATTTTCCCATTTGTGAGGCAGAACCAGATACTCGCATTGCCCCTATTGACTTGCTAATCGGTGCCGGGCTGCTTTTCCCATTGATGGTTTTTGAACCTACAGAAGAACCATGGTTGCTCAGCAGTTGTATTAGTGGGAGTCTGAGAAGTACTAATAACTGTGGGATACAACAGCACAGTAATTCAGTACAATATATCTGTATTACACAAGTAAAGTTATGAATTCATCTGACAGACCCGCCCCTTTTCGGACGACCTCACCTCTCAGTTAGTTTTCTAAACAACTCTATCATAAACTGTTTCAGGATGATTTGAGCACGACATATAGCGAAACACTACTTCGAACATCTCCTTTGCCACATTGGACAATGGCACAAAAAGCCTTGTTCTACTTCACCATGTTCTTCAGGTACAATTTTTTTTAATTTTTGTAATTTTTTCTAAATCCAGATAGATCAAGAGGGCTGGAGACTAAAAAACTTAGTATAAACTGCAACGTCCCGCGTGGACATAGGTATATACTACAGCCTGAGTATGAATTTCGAGGAGGTATGACAAAAGAAAGAAAATGAAGTGTGAGTTAAGAAAGAAGCAGTTGAAAATCAGCTGGATGAGGTCCTTACTATCGCTGTTGAACTTCCTTTTTTGGCGTGGAATGATTTGTTTTACGAATGAATTCTAACTTGGTACTCATAGTCATGCCTTTTACACATACACAACACAGACCTCTTCTGCTGTCGAACTTAATCTTTTCCCAGAGAGGGTCATTTCCTGCTTTGAGACCTCTTAGGCCATTTGCGAACTATTTTTAACGTGATCACGCCACAGCTATCAACACTTCTATCGCTGAAGAACTTTTATGGAAGGTTCCTTGCAGAACCAGATGCAGATATCGCTGAATACGTGCATTTGGCCTAAAAAATACTTTGATAACCAGCAAGGGGTTCCCTGCTCGTTCACATTCCTCTGCCATCGAGTATGGGGTACAGAGGTATCTTGAGCATGAGTCAGACCTGCTCCAGAAGAACAGGCTGATTCGGGGGTCTATTCATTGCCCTACTATATGTAGTTGCTTCTCTTGAAAGTTGGATGACAGCGGAATTCTGGAAATTTGAAGTTTTCCAGCCCAAAGAAATGAAATGTCCGGTCTTTGATGCGTGTTTCTATCAGCACTGACGCATGACTCATTACAACTTTACAACATTACAACATTACCATTGCCATTACGATTACTTCAGGTTCGGTTTTCTCTTCCCGACACGCCTATGCCTCTTACTCATCTCATTCGCATTTTTTGCTGGCTCCGCCTTTGTCGCCGTTAACAAAGTATGTTCATCAACATTCCTGCGATTTCTTCGTTTTCATAAAAAAACGACTTTTAGAAGCTCAGCGACAAAGAAAAAACATGGGTCGGCATTATATACTGCAGGCTATACTGCAGTGCAATGGGCGTTGTCGCCACCTACAAGAACAAACGTTTCCGACCGAAGGAAGCAGGTAAGGCGATTCTTCCGACAGACAGTAATTCAAGGGACTGCTGCCTGCGGCTCAGACCGACCTTTGCCTCAGCCCAGTAGCTTACTGTGATCACTTCAGGAGTGGCAATTTCCAATCATCTCACACCGAATGACGTTCAGTTGCTGTTCGCAGGAACTCCTCTGGGCTCTTCTCATGGCTTCGTGGTAACCGGTCAAAAACACACTGGAATTATCGGTAGGTGGCCTTATAGTATGCACCAATTCAAGCCAAACTAGATAGGAGGGCTTTGTTGCAATTGCACCTCACTAGAAATCGCTGGGAATGACTGAAGTCAGGATTTCCACCGGGTGCATAGTGCAGAGTATCCTGTAGGTCTAAAAATTCCTACGAATTAGACATTTGTCTTTCCCGTAGCACCTGCTGACCAGTCGGATAATTAGTTTGCCCTATAGCTTGAGTTTTTCGGAACGTTCCCACCAGAATCAATTTGAATCTTTGGTCTTGAAGAAAGCATAGTAGGGATGAATACTTGGCTTTATGGTTCAGGAATGTCTCTAACTTCAGTAACACGCCCTTTCTCGACAAGCAATATTCATAACTTATATTCCGTCATTCTTCTCCGGGCATTATATGTACTGATCGGGACTGGGTGTAGGTAGATCTTCGCACAAATATTACTGCTTGTATGCTTTGTTCTAGAGCATATTAATAAGATCTCACTTTGTTAGCAGTTGGGGCTATCACGGACACAACAAGCAGCCTGTTGTTGGCACCATCTCCAAAAACTGCTGGCAAAAAACTTCTTTCTTCCCCGTCACTCACCTGTGGGCGAGAGTAGCCCGGATCACATATTGCCGATAACTACGAATCAACATTTCCTTCAGATTTCCAAATAGAAGTAGTGTTTCAGTTGCGGTATATTGCCGATAACTACGAATCAACATTTCCTTCAGATTTCCAAATAGAAGTAGTGTTTCAGTTGCGGTGGATAGGAGATATGCTGTGAGGCGCATATGCCCAGTTCATGCTGTAAGGCGCATTTGCCCAGTTCCCACAAAACTATTGTGCTATTATATCTGGGTATTCTTAATTCTAATAGCTCACCGTCAGACACGAGCTAAAACAGGTGTTGCGGCAACATTAGGTTACAAATTGAGTTGTTTTTCAATTATTGATATGACGCTTTGGGTTCACGTAAACAACTGCCAGGAGTGCCTTTGAAAAATTTCATTGTAAAAAGATAATCTATTAAAGGAGTCGTACCTGGCACCGATTTTGAATGGCATCAAGAAATAAGAATTAGTTTTTCTTCATGAAATTGCGAAAATTCTGAAACGTGTAGAGGTTGTGTACCTATTGGTTTACGCCACGCCTAGGCAAAACATTTAAAATCGTAGAGTCGTGTAACTTTCCATTCAGCGCGACATTCCATTACAGTAGTCTATTCAGAACTACGCAGGAGATTCTGAGAATCGCCTGCCCCCCCCCCTTTCCTTTCCACTCACGTCTGGTGTGTGCTCTTATGTGGGACTGTATTTTGCTTAGAATTTGGTTCTGACAGTCCATCTCATTGGTAAACCACATGTTTAGCCGCCATAAAAGGATAGCGGCAAGGCAAAGTCTTTGACACCAATCGGTCCCGAGATGAGCTGATCTCGTAATCCTGTTGACGTAAGAATACGTATGTAATCTCTACAGTGAATCCCCAAAGCTGGCCAATGTCACATCTGAGGTTCTTTTCTTTCACCTAAGTATCGAGCAAATTAGGTAGGACATAGGTGTTTGTTTGTTTGTTTGTTTTGTTTTGTAGGACTCCTTGCATTCTGTATTTGTACGAATGATTAGAAATATGACAAATCACAGGTTCCCTCGAAACTCTTGCTGAGAAGGTCTGCCCCACATTCTGGGTGGAGAGAAAAAGTGCGAACGGTCGAAAGGAGTTTCTCGCTGAACTGGTCAAGAGAGCCAAGGTAAGTTTGACGGTGTTCTGGAACACATGTTAGTCGTATCTCATCACTGATTTCAGTTTGGCGGACCCGTACTGCTCTTCCCTGAAGGCTACTGCTCTAATAACACACAGGTTCTGCAATTTAGAAAGGCAATATTCGAAGAAGGAATCACGATCTATCCAATTGCTATTAAGTGCGTACGAGGTTTCTTAGATAGTCACTGATCAATTTTTATACAGTAGAATATTAAGTGATTTCAGGCAGGACAGTAGATTTGGTGATTCCTTTTGGCAGGAGGATGGGTTCAACTCGTACCTATTAAGAGTTATGAGCAGTTGGGCGACTCCGATCGACGTTACATACCTACGTATGTTTTATATCTGTAGGACGCTTTCTGTAGTTGTATTGTTTGGCTTATCCCGATAGTTTCAGCTCCTATGAAACGACTTCCACGAGAGACAAATGCCGAATTTGCTGCTCGAGCTCAGGCTGCCATCAGTGACGTCGTTGGAGTCCGAGCTGGAGAGTTCGACGGCTTGTTATGGTACAGGTGAGAATAGTTATCCTCGTTTCCATCGGCAATCTTCAGTAGGCAGAATAGGTAGAACGCTTTTTGATCCCTCAGCACTTCTTATTGAGCCTTCCCACCCGTGAAAGTCACTCGAGTAATGCCGAGCCGGCTGAATTCAATTATTTATTGAATCTGATAACAGAAACTATTGGATTGCAGTGAATAGGACCATACGGGTTTCCATCTGTAGACCTAACAACATTTACATTTACTGAGAAAGTCATTCCCTTCTTATTGTTCTATGAACAAGCTGATTACGAGGTATTCCCGGTACCTAATAAGTCATTTACACGAGGGGATATGATCTAGGAAAGTGGTACGAGAGGAAGTCGAGTCTGCTGAGTCGCACTCTAAGTAGAAAAATGAAAAGTGTCGAATGCTACCGTAAGTGAAGCTAAGCTATTACAGTCCCCCTTTGACATAAAACCCTAGCGGTAGTAGTTGGTTATTTGAGCGTCGTCGCTTACTGCAATTACCTTTTAAAGGGAACTAGTGTTTAGGAGAGCTTCACTATCCCCACAGGGAGCTCGCTGATCCCTTTCACTTGTGAAAGTTTTTTATAAGGTTTTATAAGTAATTCAAACTGGCGTAACCCAACTCGTCCACATACATAGGACTTCTCGTCTAACGTTCCTCGCCTGTCGTCCTCAACCTCATCCTTCTTCCGAACCCATTTCTTCAGATTCTTGTTGCAGTTTAACGTTAAATCTAGCGACGGCAGTTGAGAAAAGGCCCTGTCCTTGTTGGAGCTTCTTCTGCTCAAGAAATTTCAGAAAAGGAAAAATCTCCCACATTGAAAGAGTCTACTTGCGCTGTGTCCTCGCAGTGATCTCCGCGTTTACTTTATGGGTGCAACAAGTTTAACCACCCTTATCACAGCCAACGGAAGCACATCGAACCATTCCCAACTCAACAGGTTCGTACTGTGGAGATTTATTTCTCATCCTCGGAGAGAGAAAGAGAGAGAGATGGGGAAGGACAAGAATATGGGTATGGGAAACCACATGTGGTTGCGCTGTGCCGTCGACCTTCATTATCTGTGGTGCAACAATTCTAATAACGAAAGCAAAGCAGCACTTACTAGTACCAGGCTTCAGGGAAAGAGATGGGAGCTCCTTGTTCGAGCCATTCCCCTGGCCTACCTTCGAATTCCAATGGTACTGACCAATGATACCTGAGAATATCGCAGAGGGTGTTCATACTCTAGAATATTGTTGTTCTGATGGAAAGGACCATTTTTCTATTAGGCCGGTCTGATGATCAAATTTATAAATAGTTATTATTTCAGTAAAACTGAGCAACGTCGTTTGCTGGAGCTTCAGAAGGAGATGTGCGCCACGGCACTAGTTTCTCACCTTCATGAAACCACAGAGAAAAACGATAGTGACGATGGGTATTGGAGCGTTTCCTCCACAAACAATAGCCACTGTGGCTCACCGATAGCGGATAAATGCAATGGAATACTTTCACAATAAGTACCGATCCAGGGTCACGTTCATTGTAATATATTATATGTCCATTAGGTCCATTTATGAATCAATTATCGATTAACTGCAGGCCTACAGAGCGCCATTCCAATAATAATGACTTGTTGAGTTATTTTGAATAAATATTTGGCGAAGTTGTGAATGATGCATGAAAGACCTCTATTTAGTCCCCTCAGCAGTACTGAAGGAGCATAAATTTTTTTACTCCAAAGATTTTCTTTTTATTTACCTATATACACCTATTTACCTGCCTCGGGATTGTTTCCATGGTTTCAATACAATGAGCTTCTTCAGTTAGAAAATTCCTAATCTCGTGTTGCTGATGTTTACGCCTTAAGGGGTTTTAATTGTTACCAGGGCATGAAGAGGACGACAAAACAAGACCGCTAAAAACCTTTGAAAAATCATCCTCCAAAGTATCTTGTGAAGGGATGGTGTGTGTGTGATGTAGTGGAAAGCGGCGCAGTATCCTATGCACAATCCGGTGATCAATACTCGCTTGGGTTAGCCAAGCATTTCATACCTCCAGAGTACGTGAAATGGTACCAGACTTGTCTGGGAACATCTGCATGTCTGGGAATCGGTTTGTAGAGAAGCTAGTCATCGCAGGCCATTGTATCTGCAAGTCGAACGCGGGACATATCCTAGAACGGAGGAATCAACTTCTTTTTTTTGTACTTCATCGCGTATTCTGATCCCACCAGCTTCCAATACCCGTCAGATGTTACTAATAAGTTGTAGTTGTAATCGCGGGCATACGGAATTTATAGGCACAGTTCACGATAAAATTGATTTTTGAGATTTCCGTATAGTATGAATTCGAGGCTCCCCTTTATACCATACCTGCCGTTATAAAGTCGAAAAACGTCGTAAATAGGGCATAATAAGGTGCCAGAGATTGTACAGTGTGGACGCCACACCCACCGTGGACGAGTTTCAACGGCTTTGTAGAGGGCGCACTATCTCAAGAGACTCCCATGAAGGAAGATCAAACAACTTTTCATAACCCATGGCGACAGAGGAAAGCATTTCGGACCATTTTGGCTTGATGTACTTATTTCCTGAGCAATGGGACCAAGTTAAATCTCGTCTAAACACCCCTTACATGCCATTACCGTCACGGTGATCTCGTACAAACTCCACTTCCACCGCTTTTAGAAAGCTTTGAGTAGGCGGATTTTCACGCTTTCTTTGCCACCGATGTACTCCTCTACATCAACAGTTCCACTTTTCTACCTAAAAAGTGTACCTCGAAATTATCGTGAACTGTGCCTTCAATTGTGGGTGGAGAAGCAACACCATATGCCTACACGCTGCAAGGCGATAGGCATCAAAATTTCTGCTTGGTTTCTTGATTTTCCATTTATTCCCTTTCCGAAATTCACCAGCACTTCCATAGGGCTTGTAAAATGTGTTGATCAAAGTCTGTTGTGATCACGGGACCGTGGTGCTTGGCTATTTCCCTTATTTGGGACAATACGAACATGTTTATGGCAGAAAATTTCTGCGAAATCATATTCCTCAATTACAAGTAAATAGATCAAGCATGGATACAGAAGGTGGATGCGATTATCAGCTTTTCGAAGACCAGGTAGAGTTGAGACCGATTTCTCGAATCTGAAAGTGCAAAATCAGTGAATTTTCAATTGTAATCATCATTTACTGCAGTACAGTACTACCGACAGGTGTGAGCTGTCGCTTCAGGACTAACCTCATGTTGGCCAAGCAATATATCAATATTGATGGCTCTGAATGCATTGTCACGACAGTCTATCATCGCTAAACGAAGCCTTTCGGCCTAAAACGATTTCATCCAGTGGAATCAGCCATAGAGCAATAAATGAAAGGACCTGCTCAATTTTATTGTGGACGAGAGCGTTGTGTCGTTTTTGAGAAAGTTCTTCTATCATAGCTTCGTACTCTGAGAGCCTTTGAATGGCTCGCAGACAAAACATTTCGTTGACCGGGTGATCTTCCTAAAAATTGATGATCATTCACTTAGAGAGCTTGCTAGTGAGGACCAGCATCCCTTCTGAAGACCAACTGACCGCTAGAGCCCAATCATAGTTAAGAACACCCTAATCACTTCGTGACGCAGGCATACACTAGCCCAGGAGAATCTTAAGGAATTCAGCCTTGCATTGGATATTGCATGGGAATTTGGTAGCTATATAGAGTTGTTACCATTTCCCGCACCCCAGTAATACTTATAGACTATGGTAATGCAGTGCCAGGGGTTCACTCTCACACTAGGCTCGGGTACTGCATCCCACCTTTGCCAACAGAGTCTTTCACCCTTCCTGGGTTGGTTTATAGGTGCCATATTCGTCTGAGAGGATAAAAGCGCTGACTTTAACGTTGGCTTTCCAACGAAAGTTATTCTATAGTACATATATACATTCGAAAAGTCACTTTGATTCTGTATGGAAGTCAAACGCGGGGAGCATCCCAAATTGATTGGCTCTAGGATGTCCTCTGGAAGTCTAAGAATTGAATTTTTTTCATGGGAGACCCTTCCACAGCTTCAAAGTTCACTTCCGAGATGTGAATTTAAGAGTTGAGGTTGCGTTTGATTGCTGATTGGTTGTTTTGCGTTGATGACGAGCTCCTATGTACTGGAGAAGACAAGGGGCCAGCTTAGTAAGCATGATTCCGATCGAATCAGGAAACACATGCCATCGCCTTTCTTCTATTATTTTTTTCCCTTTAATGATTGAAGTATCTCCGATAATTTTTTTCGCTACAAGATGAATAAGACAGCTACCTTACGAACAATGGGCATGCAAACGTAAAACAATAAGATTTTCTCGTTGACTAGCAAAACCACAAGCACTGTTGGTTTTTAATGACATATTTGTTGTTACACCATTCCAGTATCCTACCTGGTATTCCTTAACAGCGTTGTCTGCTTCATATTTTTGCAAAGTGGTTCCATGAGAACGTTGACAATATCAATTTTGAAGAACACTTGTTTTGGTCCCTTATTTGTTATATGTGTACGAGTCAGTGCTTCCATCCTCCCAGACGAGTCTCGTATCAATTGATCGTCCCCGAAGGGATGGAAGGCTGGCATAGGAGGATATCGGTCTGAAATTCGAACCGTGACCATGCGTGTGTGAAGGGTACCACTTGCCATTAGACCACTTCAGCCCTTTGTTTTATTATGACCTTGGATTTAAAAGAATTTTAATAGGTTGTGATGGTTAAGAATACCACTTCTACTGTGTTTCTATCACTTTATAGTTGTGTTAAACTACTTTTCAACTCGTAAATCTAAACTAACATTCTGACTCTCAACAAGAGTTAGGATAATGTAAGAACAATGCCAAAACTGAAGACCTTCAATCAAGTTGTGGAAGGTTGTTCTGAAATTTTGCCCGGGGTTCTCTACAGAACACCTACCCCTAATAGGAAACATTCAACCGCAGCTCCTTCTAATATGTTACTCATGAAAGGGGTGTTTACGAATTTACACATAAACAAGATACGGTAGGTGGTTCGAATGAATCAGTAGTTTCAGCCTGCCTTTGTATCAACTAGCTGTAAATTTAACGTTCCTTAAAGAAAGCTTCGATCACGAGGCTAAACGTCGCGCCTATAATTTTTTTTTTTCGGAAAGACGGCTATGATTTAAAAAACCGTAATATGCAATTACGTATCAAACAGTATATTATTTTTACGAAAATTCTAGGTATATTGCGAAGCACCATAAAACATTCCTTGCTTGAGACGTTACCTCTGCAGGTTCTCTACTTTTTTCGTTTCCGCTCTGCCGTTTCTAAGAAAGCAGTAGGACTTACTTGAAGGTAGCGCTCATGTCAGTCAATCAGATCAATCGAGTGTACCGTGCCCAACCCAAAGAAGGGGCCCTTATGACAAGCAGGAACAGCCTGGGCTCCCTTTTAGGTTTTATGGAGTGACTTATAACTCCATAAAGTTCGTTGTTCCTTCGTTACATCATAAGAAGTGAAGTACATCCTGCTTCTTTCAATAACGACCCAAGAGGACCTCATGTGTATCTGTCTTGAACTGAAATGGGCCCCCTCTGAACATGGTAAATATTCCCAGAAGAAACTAGTACCAGTAAGTGACCAAAATGGTGGAATTCAATCATCTCGCAATTAAAAATGGTCTAATTATTCGATTACGATTGCTCCCTTTGACGTCAATCAGACACCATTGTGTTGATTGGTAGTAAGTCACCTTGGTTACTGTAGTTACGGTGTCCACGTCTTGCGATCGAAGATTTGACTGAATCTTGCTGTCGAGCTAGCCAATGCTTCGTTGAAAACAAAATTCTAGCCAAAAATGGAGGCAAGTAAAGAGTTACGAGCCTGTATTAGCCAAGTCAGGGCCTGTATTCCGCTATGTATCCTGCGGATTTGGTACTGGTTCTAGACTGACCCAGGTTGAGTCCATTGGAAGACTCATAAAGAGAGTTAAATAGGTACCTATCTACCAAGCTACTTGTCCTCCTCGCTTCAGCTCATTTATTTGTCATCTGCATAGCTGACCACATTCTCCATGCATCAACAGTCACCCAGACTTTAGGAGATAAAATATTTCATGGGAATCAAACTCATTGTTGATACGCATCTTCACAATTAGTCAATATTTCGATTGTAAGACGTGGGCACTGTAACTACAGTAATCAAGGTGATTTGGAAACAATCAGCTCAATGGTTCACCTAAAAAGTACCGTCAAGCTTTGGTCAAAGGTAGTCCGACTGCTGGGGGATGGATATGTGCTTGTCTTAGACGACCTCCATTCGGGATTTTTCAATGGATAGTTCGTACGTGAACTCGATTTCTGCTTACTGCTCGGGGATTGTTTACTTTACTGGCAGCATGCAGCTTTGAAAAGCTCCAGTGAGGATTTATGCATCGTTAGAACCCCAATTAGACACGTGTCTCGGCTGCTAGGCGATGCGATTCATTTCTTTTGACAAAGATCCCTCTCTCTTGGGGATCGTAAGTGAATCAAGTCGTGTCGCTATATAGAGCATTTGTTACTCAATTACAACTGGGTTGGTAAACAATTTCAATTAGTCATACTACTCCCATACGATTTATTTCCTAAAAGTTAGATCAAACAGTGTACTTTCGTTACCTCTTGAGCTTTTTCCATTTTCTTGGTGAGAACTCTTTTCACTGCTCGTACGTCCGCGATTGGTCCAGTCGATTCCCCATCGTCATTGCTTAATAGAGAGAAGCTTTCTAACAATAAGTCTGAGATCGAAAAGACTAAGCAGGTCGATTTCAGCTGTAAGAATCAGAATGACAAAAGAATGACATACTTGCTGGAAGGTCCAAGTGGTGGGTTCTGTGATTGTGGAGTGCTGCTGCGTGGTAGGGAAGAAATAGATGCTAGAATTCGAAAATTCATGAAAATATAAAATTCATGAAAATAAAGAATGAAATTTCTGTCAGCATTTTTTAATTTAGTTAGTTCTGGATAATAGTTAGCCAGGCACATACTGTGGTATGTAGAGGTATGGTAGGTAGAGTTCAAAAGTACCATGTCACCCCTTGAATTTTCCCATTTCCGCTGGGGTGCACCAAGGCTCAGAGCTCTCTCTACTTCTATTCGTTATCATCACGGATGCCATTACACGGGATCTTCGGAAGCAAGGTTCATGGATGCTCCTTTATGCCGACGCATTGCGTGTGTAGGAAAGAATGTATCTGAGCAACAGGTTCAAGCTCGGTCCGACCTTTTGAGCTTCCGCGTACATTCGTCGTAATTTCATAAAATCGGCATTCGCGTTTGACGGCGATATGACCTCAGGAGTTAATTTCCGTGCGAGTGCGGTTTGGTCTAGATGGAGCTCGATGGCTGGTGTTCTATGCGATAAGAAATTACCATATCGCCTTGAACCAAAGATCTAGAGAGCCATCGTACGACCAGTCACGACTCATGGTAAGGAATGCTGGTCTTTAATGCAAGATACTGAAGCACGGCTTGGAGCAATGGAAACAATGCTACGTTGGACCGCTTGGATCTTGCGCTTGGACCACATTTGCCACGATGCAGAAAGAGAACCGTTTCGGAGTAGTCCCTATTGCTGATAAGATGCTCATCTTGTTGGTACAGTAACGTCCTGCGCCCGACCAAAAACAGTGTTTGTAGGATCGGCTCGATGTACTCGAAAAACGGATTGAGGGACGTTTAAAGTAACGCTCTCTTCCTACCTTGCCTAAAGACCTGAGATTCATCCTTATGCAACTTATAAAAAGACTTTGCTTCATACCGAAAAGTAAAAGGGACCTTCATCCCGGCCAAGCATTCACCAAGGAATGGTAGCGTCAGTACTCCAAAAAAAGCAGATCCTATTTTTGTGTGGGAGAGACGCCTAGCAAAAGGAAATTATATATTCCGTATATAATTTTCGCCTATTGTTACATGATTATGTAATAAACAAAGGCATACATTTACTGCTTGGCCTCGACTGCTTCCCAGACGTGCTTCCTGTGGACCTTGGCCTAAATTCTATCCTAGCGACTTCATTATCATCAAGAATGTAGCCAATAATGGTCAATTTATTGATTCCGATCTAAAGAATAATTGTTGAGTAACTTTTAAGACGGTCGCTTCAATTCAGAAAAAAGCTACCCGATTGCCTGTATTGTCTTTCAATTTGAGCGGCTCATATACAACTATCCAAAGGTATTGGCCAGCAGTATCTGGAAATGGGTTCCTGAAATAGTTTCCAAAATGTTTTTGAGAGTTATCTGCTGCTCGAATATTCCAGAACGTACTTAGCTTCCATTCGTCCACACATTTTCTGATGGATACCGTATTCCATGGAGATCGGATCGGAAAAGGTAGCAGCTCGTGCAGTTCGATAGTTTTTCTCCGAAATGTCTTCACCCAATCCCAAAGCGAGCTCGATTTTTGAAGCTGAAATTACTTCATCAAAAAGCTACTATGTAGACGGAGAGATGGGGTTTAGGTAGGGTAAGGAATAAAGAGTTTGAGGAACACAAGTGCCGGTCCAACTCCCTGCCGAGTTCAGATTCTTTGCCTACAGCTCTCCCTGTAATTTCTGTGGTCTCTTGAGANTGAGCTGATCATCAGGTGTAAGGCTCCGAAGCCACATTCCCTGAGACTATGTTCAACCCACGCTATCTGGGTGCAAGCCCGTTTCATGAAACAAGTTCTGTCTGTCTATCAGACACTATAGAAACTGTCGTTACTTGTTTACAGCTTTACTCCTTCGCTGAAGCAATGTGCTGATGTAATTCGATATGTTTCTTTCAGGGTGGTAACAGTAATGACAGACAAATTGCTTTCATTCAACGGCAAAACATGAAAACCTACGGACGTACTGCTCGTTGACTTCAATCACCACTTTATAAATGTTGCTTATCTTCTCCAATCCCAATACAATATCTAGAGGATACTCCTGTCTGAAATAGTCATCGCGTTGAAAAAACCCTTTAAAAACAAATTTCCAAGTAGTATTCAATGTTGTTTTCGCAACCGCCATTTTATGCACACAAAATGAAGATTAGCTGAATGACCTCATCGTGGGAGGTACATGTTTTTATGCTGTAACTGTACAATACGCAATTTTTCGTTGTCTACAATAGTTTCTGCAAGTCAACGGTCATCATGTGCTTGTAGATATTATCGCTTGATATCGCTGGTATACTCGTTATATTCCGAAATCCTTCAAGAATGAATAACTACTTTTGTTCTCTAATATCTGTTACCGAACATTATCTCGACGCTTAGTATAGCCGCAACATAATGACTACGCACCGCAACAGACCACTGTGAGAAGAGAAAAAATCTTAGATCCCGATTTGAAGGAGTTTTCTCTNCCTCCGAAACATTGAAGGAGTTTGTAGTTATTTCGGTGTTCCTTTTACACTTTTTTCTGCTGAATGTAGGCGTTGCGCTATACGATCCTGTAATTTTCCCACTTCTCTACGCCTTTCTAGCCTCGTTTCTGAGCTGGACTACGGCTTTTGGCCTAGAATGAGTGCTCTTTCTTCCAGCCCTTACATCAGCTTTCTTGACCATTCCTCTGCTCCAGTTTCTACTGCAAAGTCCTTATCTTCAAATGTAACCAAAAGATTTGAGCTGACCCTGATATTTCTGGATACCACTTTACACTCAAGGAAGTAGTGGTTCAGGTGATCTCTGGCAGTGGTCAGCAACTGTGTTCTTTGAACAACATTCATTGGAAATGAAAGCTCTTGTCGCGGGAATAGCCCATAATTAATATTAACAAGAACGCACTGATGACGGAAGGCTGCTGACTCTGGTGACGCCTCCCTGGAGGACAGACGAAAAGCAGCACCTGACTCATGAATCATATCGTACTACTGGATTAATTACGTTCACTCATTTAGCTAGTTCAGTTGATTTCTACTATACGATATAGTTAGGTAACTCTCTCAATACCTTCTCATATCAACCTCCTTTTAGCCACAGAACATCAAAGGTTTTGGGATTTTTTGTGATAGAAAGTTGTACGATAAGGATCAGTTGAAACATTGATTGATATTGATTACCTAGGAATCCGACAATCGGATCGATCATACTGACTGTTCCGAGCACTGAACAATTTGCGGTCATGAATTTCTTTTGTTCTTTCTTTACCTCTACCCAGAAGGCCTTACAGTATGCTATACCCAGTGAAATCTATATCATACTAATCTGAACAACGTGACCATACAAGTGTTCAAGAGCTTTAAGCTTCATACATTCCAATCATCCTTCCTTTTTTTCCTTTTTTCTGGACCATCAAACTTGTCATAGTCTATCAATGATCATGGTGCTGAGCCGAAAGGGCGAGACAAATTCAAGTGTGTCGTGTAAATATTGGAGCTGTTTTGTGAAAGGACAATATTATAGTCTTATTTTTCCCTCTACTCCCTGTATCTCATTATAGAATACCCTTCTATTTACCTATGACGCCTCGACCGAAAATACGCAAAATCCGCCATGTTTATGCTACGATAAAATGTTAACAGCAGAATTCCCAGAGTACGTACAGAACTTTACAAAAGGGTTGGATAGTCTTGCAAAGTGTGTCCGAGGGTATAAGCTCCTCCTTGGTCTAAGCATTTGGATTTCTTTTATGTCGTCTATGGGTGCTATCCACTAAGTCGTAGTGACTCCGAGCCATTTTAATAGCCTTAAGACCCACAAAATGGCAAAAGACAAGGAAGGAGGAAGAATGAGCAAGAATTTCGGATCACAGCGATTCAGAAATTATAACGCTTTGTTGATGGATCAAGCAGCGAAAAATTAGAGTCACGTAGCTTTTTTCGGAACGTCGTTTACTCACAAATACCCTGAGAGGGAGTGATCACAGTTGTGGGGACTGCTGACATGCCTAGGCCCGAGCTTAGGCTCCAGATACCGTAACTCAAGGAGTTCAGTAATTGCTGTCCTCCTTGTGTATTTTATGGGTATCAAAAACTTTTTGGACCTTCTGTTCGTGAGCACCATTTCGCACTTTGGATTATTGAAAAAAGTCAACTTCCAATGTAGGCTTCCTGCGTCAGAGACAAAAGTTTCAATCACCACAGGAAATACCTCTGAACATCCATTATTAATAGTTCCTTCTAGAATTGTGGACGAGTTTGTGGTAATTGAAATTTCTGTGAGTGAATTGCTTCACTGACTAATTCCAATTTACATCGAATTCATTGGATTCAATGCATCTATTCACATGATTTGTGCGAATAATACTTGTTTTTGCTACGGTGACTAACTGTTTTAGAAGGTGTTGGCTATCCCCACAGAACTGATAGAGCTTACCGTGGAGGTGAGATCCATTGACCCCCATTGAAACTCTTTGGGTAGCTATCGCCCAAAACTAGGCACTTCCAGTCGATTTCTTGAAGTCCTTTGCCCTTTCTCTGCATAGACATACTTTGACGGGAGAATATCTGTAATTGATTGTTACTTGCTTATAGCCGAAATGATACCAGTAGAGGAAGTCCAACCTTCGAGAAATTATGTATTTGAATCGTAAGGCAATGAACTGTAACAAGAATAGACATCTTCCTTTTGAGAATAAGCCATGACTCCGGCTATTTCTCATGATCATAACTCATTTTAAGGCGAAGCCGTTTCTATAGAAGATTTGATCTGTCTCCGACCAGGAAATTGGGTACGAGTTAGCAAATTAATATTATTGTCTGCTAGGCAAAGTATTTACCTCAGTAAATGTGGTGTTCCGTAAGATGATCAGAGATTAGAACCTCATGATGTCAACTCTAAACGTTCCTAGTAGACATGCTGTTACTTTTTTACGCTCAACTCTGCCTTTCTCCAAGCCAAAATTTCGCAGCTAACAGGAAGTTGGGAGAAAAACCACTTTTGACTTTCATCCAATCGAAAACTTCCCCAATTTTTTTATCTTTGTCCAACTATGTATGAAGGAACCGCCAACGTAAGGAAATGAGGTAACACCCATATGTTATTACCAGGTTCATCTACATCTTATTGCAATCAATTATTGATTGGAGTAGTAATCGATGGTGGCAAGAAACTCTCGGTTAGGACTCAGTGAATTTCATTTAGGCATACCTTTTACAGAACTCGTACTTTTAGCTCCTCTGCACTACCTACATCTGACTAGTAGGATCAACCAAGCCCATCCTCGGGCTCTCGACAACTTTTCGCCATGGGTTCCTTCGTTTTTACCTCCTGTTTGCATTACCGAAATCATTCCCGAAGAGCTTCCAAAATGGTAAGCTTGAGCTAGTTAACTTTCAACTAACTCTACCATCTCGCGATAGGAATTTTCCCGTCGAGTTGTTCGGGATCCTTTCGATAAAAGAACTCTCAAGGAACTTTTTTGTGAACAATATTTGTTTCTTTCATAACATCACTGGCTATATCGTAGCTTTCATGCGAACTCTTGNAAATCATTCCCGAAGAGCTTCCAAAATGGTAAGCTTGAGCTAGTAAACTTTCAACTAACTCTACCATCTCGCGATAGGAATTTTCCCGTCGAGTTGTTCGGGACCCTTTCGATAAAAGAACTCTCAGGGAATTTTTTGTGAGCAAAAGTTGTTGTTTTCATACCATCACTGGCTATATCGTAGCTTTCATGCGAACTCTTGGTAGTTCAATTATTAGTCTCGGCCATCAGAGGAATCACCCAAACGGAAATTATGAGGGCGAAATGCTTACTTCCTCCATTGCACATCTACTATGCATCCTCACCTGACATTGTTGTTAGTGTAGTATAGTTATACATAGTAACCAAGGAATGATTATTTGAACTGCCTGGTTCTCTAAGTTCTGTTATCATTCCTACTCGGTTGTCTTTTAGCGAATTTTTTACATTTGAAGCTGAACTGATGCGGTATAAAAAGGATGTACAAGTTGTAATAAGAGTAATAATTACGAAAAGAAGAGGTTCTGGTTATCCTAACAACAAATGCAAAATATAAAACCAATATAAAGGTTTCCAATAGGATAGACTAGCAAAGAAAACGCCCGAGAAAGTTAATGAAGGGGTTGCTTGGAGAGGAATGGATGTTACCAAGGGCCGTTTCCATGCTTCTTAAATCTATTGACGCCATTACCCTGCTTAGTTCTTCCTCGATACGGAACGAAATCAGGGAAAAAGTGATTTTGATGGTCTCAAAAAACTTGAGAGACTTCATGTACTCCTAAGATAATAATTCAATGTTTATAGTCAATATTTCGGGTACGAACCGCACGCTGGCAAAAGTTCAGGGAGTTTTTCCTAAAATATCGTACTTTCAGATACTTTGCCCCTTATACTTGGCATAATACTCAACAAAAGGGGCTGTGATTAGCTCTGAACCTGTGTTTACACCTGCATTCTGAAGTCCCACCTACACGCAGACGATGAATGCTGTGGTCAACGTTAACGGAGTTACTCATATCATTGTATTCGAGAACTACAGTACTACTCCAGCACCTCTTGAGGTATGCTACATTCTATGAACTTTTTTGATTGTAAAGCTTTCATTTTTGACAAAAAGAAAAAACTACTAATCAAGGCCTATCTGGTCTCTCTTCGACCAATTTTCAATCTTGAACGTAATAGTTTGGAAAGTGGTTTGCAACCTTCACTTGTAGGCCTCGTGTAGGAGTTCAGAAACCTGAGAGACATGAACCACTTGGTTTGCTTCCTAGCAGGATATCGGGTAGGAGTTACTAAAGTAGACAGGATGACACCTATGGCTCAAAGTATTCATCTTAACGAATAAGGTGTCCCACATGATAACTCGCCCGACTTTTCATCCTGCTGTATTCAAAAGTATGGTTGAAGGGATTCAATGCCCTGTGGATATCTCTATCGGGTTTTAGGATATCGTGTTGCACTCTGGCTCGTCAAATTCGTCCGGGCACTTGAAGAAAAATCTGGATAAAAGGGGCCTTTTTGAAAAAAATAATCAGCTCTGATCAACAGACCTTAGTAACTTGGGTGCCTATTATAGTCACAAGACTTTTTATGTTGACATAAGGGTTAATAACATCTACTGTTTGGAGAAATTTTAGAAATCAAAGACCCATCCAAGTGTAAAATGAATGCCATCATTAGCAAGTTGCTCCATTTAGCTCTGCCAAACGAACTAGAAAGCTTATGGAAACAGTGGAAGCAAAAAATCAACGGAAAATAAAAATTATTGTTATAGCACAGCAAATGAGCAGCTCGACCAGACTCAAAATGTATTGTGTTTTAGGGCCAACTCGGGCTTGTACTGAATGAATCGGTGAGCACGACTAACTTGAGCGCAATTGAAGTTGTACCGGTAGCGGCAGCTGGAGCTGTTTTCGGTATATTGCTTGTCATCGGTGTCATTGCTACAAGTATATTCATTGCTGTACTCATTGCAGGTAGAGCCAAATTCGCTGAGGTCAGTTTTCTGTCATAAAATGTTGTTATTCGAGTACACATCCCGCTAAACGAAGGATCTAATAGGGTTCATATTGCAGTTTCCATTTTTTGTACTCGTTTGGCATATGACAGTAGCTAATGCGATACATATGGTGATGGTCATATCGACGATAATGCCCATCATGCTCATTGAGGTCAGTCTTAATATCTCAAGGTGCTCTTAACCATCTGAAAACTTCACCATTTACCGAAAAAAGACGGTGGAGCAAAAAGGTTACTGTAAGCGGAACCATCATATAGATCGCTGAAGACTAGGTAGAGTCTCGAGTAAACTTGGGGGCATAATGGTTGTTCCCGGATATATGAAATTAGCTAGTCTTGGAAAGGACTATGTAGCGAGCAAGTTCGACTCCCAATGAATCTTCAGGGAACGGTGGACTTTATGCGGTCTTCTAGTGTCTTGGCTTAAAGCTTTCCAACATTTCCCTCTCTCAATCCCGACTTCCATTTGCGTGAAGGTCGGGTTTTGATAAGATGGACCTCAAATTTAATGGCAGCCAGATTCCATGGTCTCGAAAGCTTGAAGAGTTCATGCCCACAGAGATATGAACAGTATTAAGAACCCACGAGAAGATCTTTGGGCGACTTCCGCGAGAACGCTTTCTGTACCCGATCTGATCCTTTCTAATTAATATATTTGGAGCCAGAGAACGGTGATCTTCAAGTGACCATAATTTCCACAGTGAACTAAACAACATCACAAGGCTTAATGACTCAATTCAGAAAGCATGTGCTTGATGTTGTCTGCTAGCTAAGTGTGCAAGGAAGATCTTTGAGTACTCCCTCAGTAAATTGATGCAAACGAGAAAATAGCCAACTAATCAGCCATCAAAGCTCTTCATGAATCATTCCGAGTATAGGTGGCCAAAGATCTTTGATGTTTGCAGATCGGAGACGACGGCCCTCAACGAATGTGGTACATCTGGGGTTCAAGGATACTATCACTAACGGAACAAGCCGTACTCTACTTCACCCTGTTGATGACCATCAATCGTTTCGCAGTATTCGTCTTTCCACAACTTCTTATCGCTTTCACTCAGTACGTTTTTTTTAATCCCTTCTCAGCATCATTTTCGATAGAAAAAAAACTTGGTCCGTTTGAATAACATTTCAACTTCAGCTGGTGAAACAGTCTAAAAATGGAAACATAGACATCAAATGAAATGTAGTAACACAAGTTGTAATTTTAGCAGAACTAAGAGGAACAGGCTTCTTCCGCCTTTTCCGGTGCCATGTTTTCTTCCACCTTATCAATTTTACGGACAGGCGCACCTCTTGTGATGGGGAATCGGCACGCTGTTGTAGAAATCTCATAAGAGTCCTGTTATCTCAAGTATTCAGTGAGGATGTAGCGTTTGGGCGTCCCGGGTGGCAAGATATACTGCTTCCACCAGTTGTTAACAGTACCGTTAAAATAAGCCGTGGTTGGGCACATCCTCAGCTTATAAGCGTACTCGAAACATTTAAAGGAGAAGTGATCTGTGTACCCTGGAAAATCTGGTGTAAGCGATCCATTCTTCCTGCTCTTCTCGGGATATAGGGGAATAAACCGAATATTTCAACGATAATGTAGTTCTGTGGCAGAGTTTTAGCTTATTTTGAGCTTATAAAAGCCTGATTGGTTGGCTCAGATGACGAAAAGAAAAAATGCAGAACAAAAGAGAATTCCATCTCGTTCCTGTGATTTCAGAATTACTTTTGAAAGATAATGCCCAATTCATCAATTCCTATTTTCAGCACACGTGTGATGATTTTGTCGATTTTGGCATGGATGTACATAGTATTTATTGTGGCATGGAATGTCTACTCCGGATCCTCCAAGACATTTTCAAAGAAAAAACTCAGTATGCAAGAGACTATTCTAGGGAACAATTTTTTGTCTACAGTGAGTTTCGAAAAATTTTGTAATTTGTGTACGGAAGGTACAGACTTGCGACATCTAAGACTACGAAAAAAAAAGCGAAAAGAATGCAAAAAAAATCAGTGAAAAGTGCAGCAGTATCACACACGCATTGTCACGGTTTCGAATCTCGGATTGATATCAGTCCAGGGGAACGAGCGTTACATCCCTCCGGGGTCGCTTACCCGATAACAGACTCGCCTGGCATATAAAAGCACTGACTCGTACTTCGGCTGGCCAGTGCAAGTCATTATATGTATAGGCCAAATACGCATTCAACACGCCACTACGATCTGAATGGATATCGAGTGTGGGGCATATCCCCCGAACAGGACCGGCTAAAGCAAAAAACTTCATCCTCCTTTCTTTTATATAGCAGTAGCAGATGGAATTATTGGTCAAGGTTGGTCTACCATCCAGGGAACATTCATTGGAAAGGACATCTTCAGCGAACTGGTCTTCCAACCTTAGAACGACCCTATTGTTTGTCCCCTGTGCACTTAAAACGACTATAGTTATAACTACTAGGTCTTACGTCGTTTACTCCCTTCTCCCTTACCCTTGAACGCTTAGAAGACCTGCCGAGCAAGCTTACCAGGAGTTGATAGGTTTTGATTCTTTGTTGGAGTGAATTTTCAGAATTATTTCATATCAAACGAATACCTGTTTCAGATATTCACCCTGTCTTCTACTGTACTTCCGATCGTGATGTTGGCTATGTATGGTATCATATTCATATTCATCATCAAAAAACGTGGTGCATGTGCAGACGCAGCGACCTCCGAAAAAGATCGCTCACTTCTATGGCAAGCTCTGGCTGTCGCTGTTTGTTTAGAGGTTCGTTTTACAAACGCAAACCGTACGTTCTTGCAAATAGGTAGGAAGTGACACCTGGGTATAGATTCTACAGACCGGAAAGCTCCAAATTTTTCTTACTATAGAGGGTCTTGGTAGGGCCTCAGTTGCAAACTAACAGACGTTCATGTCCCAATGTTCACCCCACCAGTCTGGCATTAATAGAACCTGGTCATATTTCAGAAGAAAAGCAGATTTGGTCAGAATACGCCACGTCTGTGAGAGACCCCATCCCATTCGAATCAAATGTTAACTAATTATTACATCTGAAAAGCAAAGCATTGCTAGACGATGCCAGGAGTCATAACCCGTATTACAGCATACTCAGATGACGTATTTAAGCACGTTTCATACCAACACAGATGGTAGTGGACGGTTGAACGCGGTAAATAAGAGGCTTTTTGTTTACTGCTCTCAACAGACGCAGCAGTTTTCGTGGCGCTTTCAGCAGGTGGAGAAAAACTGCTTATCCAAGGTGTACTGCTGTTGACAAACCTGTGCAAATCATCAGCTCAATTAGGTTGTTGTCGTCAAAAACATCTGGTAGTTGACTAAGATCCCATGTAAATAATCTACGTCTAGGCCCATAATTACAAGTTAGCCTAACATTGGAAATGAATAAAAAGAGTGAATGATAAGGTCTATAAGTGTCTATCTATGAAGTTTTCGGAATGCGCGCTGCACTAGAACCCCCATCAGAATCGTAGCGGCATAGTGGATTGCGTATGAAGCCTATACAATAATTCTGGTCACTAGGAGATGTACAAGTCAGTGCTTTCATCCTCCCAGACGAGTCCAGTAGCATGTAGCCGACCTCGGAAGGAAAGATTGCTCTAGTCAGATATCGATACGGAATTCAAGCATTGATCATGCTTTTGTGACAGTGCGCCACTTGGCCCTACACCATCTCCGCCTAGTACTGTAGTAAGATCCCAATGGTACCAAAGTTGTTAATCTAAACTATTCTGATTGGGATTATCAATTAAGTTGCGATGGGAGGCCCAGTTCACCACTGAGGAAGTTGTTCCCTCATGCTTGTAGATGGTACCTGACATCGAAAGCGCTGTATCGCAACAGGGAACTCAGCTGTCCTTGATTTCTTCTCATAAGGACTCATGCTCATTCACGAGTACCTGACATATTAGTGGATGCATTTTTTGTGGTTTAAGTCGAAGAGGTTTTCGCTCTCATCATAGCTGTGAATTGGTAGGAATGGACGTGGTTCCTTCAGTTTCCCGGCCCGTAAGGCCAACCGCTTGAGCTTGGGTCTGAGGCAAAGAAACGAGTTTCATTCAGTAGGAAGTGAAAAGGGATATAGGAAAAAGTCTGCGATTAGAGGTGAAAGTGAAAAATGCAACAATATAATATATTACTTTTAGCTAACCAAGTTCACAAACATGATCACACCATTGCTGTCGGGAGCTACTTCATGGGTACAATGGGTGTGGACAATATTCAGCTATTCTACATCGATCCTCAATCAAATGATCAACCCGTTACTATTTCTGACAATGAACAAAATGGTCCGTGGTGTTCTCAAGAGCTTCTTCCGATCAGGATCTAGTGGTATCAGTTCTGATTTGGGTGAAAATCCAAAACATTCTAACTCTGCACAACCGGGATGTTGTCAAAAAATCTGTCGACTTTTCATACGGCAAAAACAAATGCTAACGAATAACCGACCAACTTCAAGGGGTACGTGGGTGTTCTGACAAAAGCTGAAGTTGTAAGGCAATATAAAAAAGGTTGTGAAGATGAAACATGGCTCATTCCGCAAATCTTTAAACTTTAGCTATTTCATTTCATACGGAGGTCTTTTCGGGATAAGCCATGCGGCTATTTTCCAGTCCGTATTGCAGACAAGGTCAAAACTTATGAGGAGCTCCTACTCCCATTTCTGTACAATTTTGAATGAGAGGGAGAGGAGATGATATCGGCTTCCATTACCAGTATAGCGACCTGAAATTCACGTAAAGAATCTTCGCTCCTCAATCACAATTTTTCCTAAAATACTCGCTTAAGTATAACCCCCAATCTCAATTCCTCCCGCCTCCTAGCCCCTTAGCTACCTCAAGCCCTTACCTCATGCTTGATACTTGCTGCGAACATAACTGACCGATATAACCGTTCGCGATGAGGATAGCAGTGGTACCGCAACACTGGCCCCAGCTCTGAAGTCGTTTTTCACCACTAGACAATCCTGTGCCACTGACGATTACTAGACCCTGAAAAATTGGGAAGCTTGACCAACTTGGGTAAAATCCGAACTCATCAATGAGGGGAGATGTAACTCACCGGTCAGTAGCGGAGATGCCGCCACATTATCTAGATGTGAAACCGACCCTGTAGCTCCAAGAACTTTTCCAAGTTATATGTATGTTCCTTTTTGTAAATTTTTTCATCAACCATTTCCTGTCGCATCGTGTTTTTCCATATTGACAACAGCTGTACATACTTCTTTACCTTTATGTAGCATGATTCACTAACCGAATTAGTATCGTTGCATTGCTCATGATATTGTATAAATCTTGTAAAATCTCGAACTTCATTAAATTATCACAGAAAAAGGGATATAGCTTTAGCTTTCAAAAAGCGGGTATCCAAACTGAATCACAGCGTGACCAACTAGCGAGATATTAAAAGAATTGCAAATAAATTAAGAACGAAGACAAACAATAACAACGTTTTCCGACGACAATTGTGAGAAATAGAATCATGCTCAAAGACTATCACAGTGAAAATAGAACCTGATGAATAATAGAATGGTCTACTTTTACAAATCTGATCGCCATTCATCACAAGCACGTGAGAGATGGATATTGATTGTGAATGGTCAATTTCAATATCCATCTTAAAGCATACAGTCTATTGAAGCGAGCTGAAGTGCAAAAGCTGAATTAGATAGGTCCCACACTAGAGATTTGATGATGTGATACCCATAACCATAACGAAACCCACAAAACCAAAAGAACAGATTTTCCGAAATATACAAAACAAACATTAATACAACGACTACATAAAAAATTGAGTTCATAGAAAGGGGACGTCAGACTGACATCAGGAAAATGGAAATGCTGCAAGAAGTGGGATCAGCTTACGTGTTTTCTACAGAGGTCCCTTTTCGATGACGAGCTCCTTACGACTATGAGCAGACTCAGACACTCATCTCCTTCTCGTTCACCTTCTGCTCTTCCGTGTAAAAGTGCCGTTTCCGCCGTTTTGTTGGAAGTTCCATTGCAGCTACCTAAAGAACTCCAAAATTGAGGTCAGTACTAAGGCACACAAGGGAAGTAATCTAGTAAAACTCTAAACAATTAATACATAATCGTAAAAACGGATGTACCAATTAGTAGCAAACGTCGAAAAAAGGGGCAAAATACGGCTCGTACTGAATTGTTGGAGCCTTTCTTTTCATAGGGCGTCCCTTAGTAATCCTAATTCAGTGACTCATTATAACGTTCTTCATTTTGCAAAGTGGATAAGCCGTAAACGATTACTAAACAAACAAAAACAGCTAAGTCGGATAATATCAATTTTACTTTCAACCTGCTAATTGAGAGCAAGGATCATAACAAGTAGTGGGCCATAGAAAAGTGGGATAAAGTACTAGTATGGAAGAAATTAACCGCCTCAGGTCACATCCTTTATACAAGAACAGAAATAAGCAAAAAACACAAAAAGACCAATTTTCAGTACTTTGATAATGATGGCGAAAAAGGCCGCTTCAAAATCCATCAAAACTTACTTGCAATGGCCATCCTCCACCAATTACACCGGCTTGAACTGAGGCCCCGGTGGCTACCGCTAATTCAGGATCGACACCGAAATTTGGAGGTTTCCTGAAACGATTTTCGAAGAATCTAAAGGATATCAAACCACATTCGGTTGATTCTGAATGAGTACCAAACGACACAAATCCATGCTCAAGATAACAGTGGCATTAGAAAATGCACCAAAGTGTCAGACCAGTTTGCGACCACACTAAGGAATGGTGAATTAAAAATTGAGCTGAGCTTGAACTCTTAATGTGAAACTTTGTAGCCAGAAGCTTAATGAATAGAAACTTACCCAAAATAGTGGCCGACAATTTGCCGAACTTTTGGTATCCGCGTAGATCCACCAACAAGGACTATTTCGTCTACTTCAGATGGCTGGAGATTTGCATCCGCCAACGCGGCTTCGATGGGCTGTTCTATGGACTTGAACAGATCGGCATTCAATTCTTCGAATTCATCACGAAGCAACTTAAAACAGTCAGTGTACTAACAGGAACTTTGAGGCAATTTAGATATAAAGCGACATGCTAACTCACTGATAGCCAAAGATGGTAAAAAGTACCTGATAGTGCCACTTTCCAATTTCTTTCAAGTTGAAATTCATCTCAGCTGTTGGGTGCGTAGTAAGCCTTAGTTTAGCCTTTTCAATTTCTAGACGAATCTGTTGCAAATCCTCCTTATCTGTTATCGTCTTCCCAAAACGGTTCTGCATTACCTACAAAATAACACTTTCTAACCGTAGGCCTAGGTTCAAGACATGAATAAATGGTCAAAGAATTCAACCACAAGAGTCAGGAGAACCTTCGAAAACTGGCCCTTTCCATCTATAACACGGAATGGGTAAGTGTATCTATCTTCAGGGTCTGGTATCTTCTCCCCGAACGGAGTGTCGTGCTCGTCGCACGCGACCCCGCGTTGGGAAGGGAAAGATTCGAACTCCCAATGGAAGGATACGGAGAGTCGCTGCGGAACCACTGCCGCAGCCTGTGGTTCCGCGGCGACTTTTGCTATAATCAGTCTATAGGCTACCTAGTATAACGCGGTCTATACTGCTATAACCTACCTGACGTACGGATGGAAGATAGAGGTTACTTTCTGGTACCCCTATCTTCCATCCGTTCATCAGGTAGGTTATAGCAGTATAATACCTTTTTACAGCTACTTAAGTCCACTGGAGCATTAGAAAATCTCTCCGCTGTCTTTTTAAAAATTGAAATCTCAAAATTATTCTTAGCTTTGAACGCTCGATTCTGTTAACCGCACATATATTCTGCGATTTCAGAGCCTCAGAATCTAGAACTACCACCTCTTAACGCACCAAAACAGAGTTTGGTGGATCGATTTAGCAGACACTAGAACATAGAAGTACACTGGTTTATATGCGTCCATAAATCGCTATTCCCTCTGATGAAATGAGGTCCGCCATTCGTGCCCTCGATTCCCGAGCCAACAAAACCACTTGTCAGCATTTAAAAAAGTATTACCATATTGACCTAAATTTATTACCATGGACCTAAGTACTCTACATAAAGATTCCGCTCAACAGATAGAGGCGCTGAAAACCAAATGACATACGAGAAAATTTATAGTGCAGTTTCTGAATCATTCCGGTTCCCCTAGTTTTATATGCGTAAGCCTTCATCTATTAAAACCCATCAGAGAGAGAGAAATTTTACCAAACAAAGGCCTTAATCGATTCCTTTCCACGCCACAACGCATTGGCAGGACATGAAGCTTTTAAGGCGACGCGACACCTCCTTTCATAGATGCCATACCCCAATCAACATAATACTGTTTATATCACTGTTGTAGGTTGGGTCATGTAGAAAGAATTAAGTAAAGAAGGCAATCTCTTCGAATAATGAAAACGAGCAAATACTATTATTAAGATCTATGCAAAGTGCCAAGCAAAATTAAATAGAATTTATGATAACACTCACGGAAATAATATGCTTTTGAACGCGATCGTTAAAATCTTGTCCTCCTAATCGATTATTTCCAGCCATAGCCTGGGTTACGAAAACACCCCCTTGTAGCCAGAGAACAGACACATCCAAAGTTCCTCCTCCTTCAATACTTAGATGTATTTTCGACAAAAAAGTGCATTAGAATTATGGTTGCCTACCAAGATCTATAACAACAACACTCTCAACGCCTTTCTTCTTGTGTAAACCGTAAGCAAGAGACGCTGCAGTTGGTTCAGAGATAACTCGACGTACCTCCATTCCTGAACAGCATAGAATTCGAGATTAATTTTAGTGAATAGTGAATATTTAGGTCATCTTAATAACAGTTTGAAAATTCGAATAATGAACCCAAACGGGACTAGGAAAAAGAATAAAATCGCTGACAATTCCGCCTGAATCGCGACAAAAAGGCTTTAAACCATAACAAAAATAAAAGTCCCCAGATGACCTGCTAATTCTGCCGCTTTCCCTGTTACATTGCGCTGATTTTCACCAAACTCAGCAGGTACAGATATGACAACCTGAAGAAAAACAGATGACATTAAAGGGCGAGAAAAGTCTACAAACAAAAGAATCAGTACGAACTTGCTTTAGAGGCGTTTTGAGCTGCTTTTCAGCGGACTTCCTCAAATATGAGATTATAATGGAACCAATATCTTCTGGATAAAGAACCCTAAAAATAAATGACTTTCTGATGCAGTTGACCATAAAACATTTGCCTTAGAGATTAAGAGTGAGATCAAACACAGCTCACTTGTTTCCACTGTCTAAGGGCACTTCGAAAAAAGCGTGACCGGTGTCATCCAACTTTATAGTAAATGGATATCGTTTTTGATCGGCCTGAACAACGTTGAAATGAGATTTAAAAAAATTCTTCAGAACAAATACGAATGAATAAGAAACAAGACATACTTACCAGGAAGTTCTCATTATTCTTTTCAAATGTACGCCCGATAAATCGCTTAGCATCGTATATAGTTCTTCGAGGATTTTTCTCTTGTTGCTCAACAGCACGAGTTCCAACAATTACTGTACCATTCGGCCTGAACATCGATCATTCAGGTTCACGGACATTCAGCATTTTAATACAGCAATGAAATGGAATAAAAATGTGAGTGACTTATGGAGAGAAACATACAAAAATGCCACAACACTAGGAACTGATAGCTTGCCAATCTCGTCTGGCAATATAGTCGTTACACCAGTTACAGCATGATAAATTCCTAAACATAATAAGAATATCAATGAGAGTCGTTTCATCCTCATACGCTCTCTTAACATCCATAAAAATGATATTCCATATGGGTCACAAAGACATATTTGCATCATCTTTCACTATTCCACATAACAGCATTGGCTTCAAAGCCGTCATTGCATTTGGATAAGGGCTGTCTTAATTAATGCATTTACGAATTCAGCGTATAGCTCAATAAAGAAATAAGCGCTTCACTCTATGTTGACCAGCCCTTTGTACAAATAACTCTTCAAAATTGAAGAATTTGGCCCTCCTAACCATTAAACTTCCTTAGTTAACGTATCTTCAAAAATGAAAACTGTGGGTGGATCGGTGTCCTAAGGCGTCAAAAAGGAGAACAGCCTTTAATATCAAATAGGTAACGGTAACATAGACCTGGCCAAGCCCAGCGTGGGTAACACGAAGTCCAACTAATTATTGGTAAACAAGAAGAACGAGGAAAATGGTAAGACACTGACCTATAGATGAAAAAGTGGTGCCTAAATCAATGCCGGCAATTTTCGGTGGTGGAGGTGGTAAACCATACTGTCGAGCAATATATCCAGCTATCAACACCACCAATATGGCACCGCCTAAATATTGAAGGTAACTATCAGAAGGCTGAAAGAATTCATAGTAAAACAATAACTTACCTATCATTGACATTGATGACATCTTGAGACAGGGCTATTCGTAAAACCCGTATTCTTGACTTCTTATATATATGTAACAAAAACAAATCAAAACAAATCTGAAAACGTTACATTTCCAGCAAATGCACTCAATAACTCCAAGAAGAACAAAAATTATGCAAAACAGAAAATAGCAATCGGCAAGGACTAGCGTGAAGAAGAAGCTAATTTATGAAATTAAATTCAAGTGGGAGGATGGCTGGAGTGTACTCGGGCACTTGAAGCTCTTATACCCCTAGTGGAGGGTGAGAAGCATCCACCTACACTGATACAACAAACACAACGTCCCGGAGAACTGCCGAGCCAGTAGTAAGCTACAAACACATTCAACAAGCAAAAATAACGACGATGCTTTTTAGAGCTCGTCATCTCTTCCGAGCTAAATTTAAAGGGCATACGTGCAGCTTTGTCACTAGGGCGCGGAAACTACCCGGTAGACGAAGCGGTGTTCTACGTAGTTGGGATGGAAATGCGGTCGATTTTAATTACGCTTTCTTGCCGATAGGATAGCAATTGCGATTTTCGATGAAGAGCCTTCCATCTAAAGGGCGAAGATATTAAATAACCAAAGTGGGAGCGAACGGGGAAAGGCGGGCACCATACATTGGATATTTGCTCACGGATTCGATTACAAGAAGTCCTGCTTGGCTGGCTTCCCCACTCATGCCGTTGTCCTTAAATGCAATCAAGCGTACAACAGCTAGACGTCTAACCTGAAAGCTTTTTTGCTTCTTTTCCTATCGCGGATTGCCGATTTCCGTTCATTTCATCTATTTTTCCAAAATTTTATTAGTTATTAATACAAATAGTGGCTGTGTTTTATGTTTATTTATGAATCAACATTAAAGTATTCCTTATATGGTATAGCAATGCTTCACATCAGAGAACTGTCTGACTGTTCAGACTCAGCAGGTCTTCGTGTGGCGCGCCATGCATTCGCAATCCGTTCTGAATTCATTTGGACATTGAAATGTTCTCCTTTTTTGCAATTGTTTTAAGTGAAAAAAGTAAAGAAGAAGGGGTGAAGAATCTGGTGGAATGCTGGATTTTGTTTTATTTGCTGTCTATCCATCAAAGCCTAAAAAATTCCTGAGTCCGATTCGCTCACAAGGCTCTGGAGACCAAGGAAAACAGCTTTTCAGGGAGTTTTACATGAGGTCATCGACTCTTTTTTTGTTCATCAAGCCCTTTCTGGTATGCGCCCTAACATCCGTCTTCCGTTCAAAGTTGTAGTGACGTTTTGAATGTGTATGGGGCCTACGTAATGAATTGAGGTGGTCAGCCGATGTACAAGTCAGTGGGTGCTTTTATCCTCCCACACGAATCGTGTCAATCAACCGACCCCGCAGACTCAGTTGGCCTGGACCGTTCTCGATCCGGGATCCGATCCCCGGATCATATTTGTGTGAGGATGTGCCCTCAGCCACACCACCACCTCCGCTAAAGTAATAAGAAGTTACACAGTGAAATCCTTGAGAGACATTCTACGGCCCCATAATATCAGAACTGGAGCTCAAAAACGCATCTTGGGTGAAAGTGGTCCACCACTGTGGGGAATTAGTAGAAGCTGCCGTAAGAGGACTTTCGTAGGTGTCCCAGAAAGGTACCGTACTGAGTTGTTGCTTATTGTACCGCTTCACATCTAGGAAGACTTGCGATTTGTTCCTACTAACTTTACATTTACTGTTGCTGTTCTATATAATCGAATTTCGAGCACTTCGATCACTATTCTTCATCGCCACTTTTTCTCATCAACTCGGGCACATGGAGGCGTCACTGCTTGGCTGAGGGCGTCTGTGCCTAGTGCTCTAACCTATTTCGCAGCTTGGAACATGGGGAATCTCATGAGATTAAATCCATAGAGTGGAAATCCGCCTATCTCACAGCCATTTGAACAATTGATAGCAATATTTTCCATGAAGGCAAAGTACTGTTCGAGTGATGGCCAGCTCGCTCATTCCCATTCATAGGCTGGCTGGACAATTGAATGATTCTACGAAAATTCAGGACAATAGCGCTTCCCGAAGGGATTAACCATTAGTGAGCCCATCCATCATCATCACCCGTTAGCCTTTTATTTTCCGAAAAGAAAAAAGTCTCTATGAAGATGAATAATTTCTATCGCGTGAAAGTGCAAGCAAGAAAAAACCGCTGGGGAAGCTGTCAGAATTGTGGAAGCAGGTCAAGTGGGATTGGTTCATATAGGGGTGCTTCGAGGCTTCGAACTCATTGGGCAAAATCAAAGGAGGGGTTTACTGAAACGGTCTTGAAGTAGCTTTGAGAGTAAGTAGCTCAGCTTATACCTAACACGTTGNNNNGAAAGTGCAAGCAAGAAAAAACCGCTGGGGAAGCTGTCAGAATTGTGGAAGCGGGTCAAGTGGGATTGGTTCATATAGGGGTGCTTCGAGGCTTCGAGCTCATTGGGCAAAATCAAAGGAGGGGTTTACTGAAACGGTCTTGAAGCAGCTTTGAGAGTAAGTAGCTCAGCTTATACCTAACACGTTGCTTCTCCTTATTGCTCCTTATTGCTCTACCCACAGACTTTTTCTCGTGGGGAGTAAGTCCAACTTGAAATCTCAATGAGCCCTGCCTAGACCTTATTCTTTGTAGATTGAGAAGGAAATTTGTGAAAAAACTTTGCAAATCCCAAATCGCCCTTTAAAGGCTGATATGGGAAGTGCATGAAGTTTGACAGCCCTCTAAATGTGCCCTAAAGCGAGAGACTAGTGACTTCAAATTTGTTCCTGTCCTCTGTTCGGGAATCTTTTCCTAAAAGTTCATAACAAAGGCAAGTTGGGAGGGGCAGAGTGAATCGATCATACTGCTCATAACTGCCTCTCCAGCACTTTTTGAACCCATTCTCATCCCTTTAGATGACACTTGACTTCAAATGATACTGACGGGTTGCTGTTGTGTAATGCATAGGGGATTATCTATGGGGAAGAAGTGTGCTTATGAAAAGCCCAGTCTCGCAGCTTTGCTTTCATTGACAGATGTCTGCCACCAAATTGCGCTTTTCTAGTCCACCTCCATCTAGGCTATCGATGCATTTCCAACACCGTTCGCCAGCCGTTCCCATGGCGACACCCATAGTGTCTGCGCCAGTAATTCTTTTCGTACTTATTCTAATAGAACTGTTGCTACTTGACATATGATAGTGTGAGTTGTCACTGTTACTGCCACTCATACTTGCTACCCGGCCTTTTCATCGCTTTCACTGGTTCCTGATGAATTTGTTCGGATATTTGGCCCAGGATCAATCCTGGCCCTTTTCGATAAGTGGCTGCTCCACCTCCTCCACAGGTTTACTCAGAGAATGTACCCGCCATATACGCTGCTTCCATCTCTCAAATGACTTATTAACTTAAAATTGTCGGTGCCACTAACTTGTCGATACAAATTTTTTCTTCGGGAAAATTCCTATTTTTGAACGAGACCCGCTCATTTTTTGAGATTACCACCCTTTTTCTTTCCCTTTCTTTTTTCTTTCCAGTCATCAGTTAGCTAGAGTGTGCGTAAAGTAGCCTTTCCCCTCTCTCAATGAGTGTCCGCAGTACGTGACATCTGCAAGCGTGTCGCAAAGCGGTTAGGCTAGCTGCAAGTACTCGGAATGTGCACACAAGTCTGTGAGTTGGCTCTCTGGAAGTTGTGGAACGTGCAAAAAAGCTTTATATTCACTTTCTCTGGATTGTGCATACATCTGGTGCAATTCTAGTAATTGGTACGAGGGTATGAGGGTATAGAAAGCCTGTGAGTTGAACTGGTAAGAGCATAGAACGAGCAGAAAATGTTGTCGTTCTCTGGAGTACCCGGGAACCCGAGAAAAAGAGAGAGCTGGACCTATGTGCACACGATTGTCTTGGGTGGTTGACTTTCTGAAGTTCCCATTAGTTCCCGAAATTTTGAACTGTCAAAGGTAGGACGATAAGGGAGTGAATCTACGAACTGTGGGAGTAGATCTTGTCCCATAGGCGGACCTCTTTGTTGCAAGTCGCTTCAAAAAAGGGTGGAGGAACATGCAAAGCTCTCAAGTAATTGTCAACTTCCGCAATTGTCGTCCCCACGCTGCATGCTCATCGTTCCCTTTGCTTTTGAAGTTTTTTCATTGAGCCAGAAATGGACTTCAATTGAAGCTCCCTACCAGTTGCTACTCCATGTGCGATGATGGTTTTTGCCTGGGGAGTATATCTTCTTCACTGAAGCCAACTGATAAGAGCAAAGACTGCTTAGACGGAGGGGGACTACAGAAATTATGAGGGTTCACAGCTGAATGATCAGAATTTACGAGACACCTGTTCAAATATTGGGCCTTATGCTTGTCCACGGCTTCCCTGTGTAGGTATTGTTTTCCATGTGTGTATCGAGCGTATTGTACGAGTTCGTTCAAAATTTCCCCCATAATTTTTCTTTTTTATTTTTCTCTAATTTATTACAGCATTACTCTCAAAAAGCACAAGGAGGTGCTGTACACGTCATTATGGGTAATAACTACACTTCACTTTCTACTCAAGATCCAAATGATCTGCTTGTGGGAAGGGATAGGTGAGTCTTAGCTTATAGAGGATAAAAGATTGTTTACCCGTTTGAGATGCGCCCCGCATTCGACTTTCATTCAAAATTGCAGTGGCTGTGTAGTTCATCATACATGTTGTGGTTAGCCGTTGCAAAATTCAGTGATTTTCTCTCCAAGTTTGGCCAGATACAGATTAGTCGACCTGTGAGGGTTGGAGCCCTGCTGGCGTAGGTAGATATCGGCCCGAGGTTGATCTGTCGTGTCACGGGTGTGTGGTAGTGCGCCATTTGGCACTACACCGCATCTTCCTTATCCCATACCGGAAATATCTCTTTGACGCCATTTTGAATCCAGAGTTTTTCTCCATTAAAAAAATCTTGATGAAGTTTTTGGAACCAATCAATTTCGGAATGCGTGTACCTTGAATTTCGAAGCAGCCAGCCGATTTAAGTCAAGGCTTTTATTGCTTTGAACGACTGTGCTACCAGTAAACTGATTAGGAAGAGATAAAGTGGAATTGGGTAGTCTGTGAGTGATCCAACGCCAGTGTAACGGCTTCAGGTGTGATCCTCCCCACCCCCCCCCCCCCCCCCCCCCCCCTGAACGCACCCTGACCTTCCCTATCCCCATTTATCCTTAATCATCGTGACAATAAACAACAGCCGGGAATGGGGTGGTTGCGGATCGCTCGGAAAAAGTCAGGCGGAATTTCGGTCAAGCACAGCACATTTGTGGATTGGATAGCCGCATTTTCTAAAGGGTCTAGAGGTCCTATCACGAAATAATAACGGATTAAAGCTATAAAAATACTGTAATGTAGAAAAAAGCATTGACATCCTGAACATGACGAATAGCGAGTCATATGAGCCATTCAAAGTTAATGAGGCGTTAAACGCCTTATTCACAATAGAAATAGTTTCTAGCTAGTAGAGTCCTCGGGAAATCAATATGAGCAATAGTAATTGAAGCAATAGTAATTTTCAAACTTTGATTTCCAGTTCAGAGGAAAGGCATCAAAAAACGCTGCGTTCCTTCCGTCAAAGATTCATAAACGTACTTTTGGGAAAGGTCGGGTTCGTCGTGGGCTATCCTCGTATGAAGGTCGTTCTTAGCCATCCCAGTAAGAATGGGGCTGTATTTCACGAGCGGTAATTGATAAGTCCCAATTCGCACAAGTTGTTGACAGTGTCCTTTTCCTTTTGTTTCTGGTCGGATTCCCAAATTCAATGTTTGAAGTGGGAGTGAGAAGAGCAGCAACAGGGAGGAGAACACTTTAAATTGAAGTTATGCTTTGAACGGAATGTAGACACGACAGTATAAAAGATACGTTTATATCTGGTAGAGTTTATAGTCCTTGTTGAGAAAGGAACGTTGGGAAGAAATAAGTGATTATACCCTCTGGAGCAGCTTCAGTCGATCAGGGATTAGTTTGAAGGCAGAACTCACGATAATTTTGTGGTAAATTTTTCAGACGCTACGTTCTGGGCATCTGCTCCTCATGATTTTGTCTTGTTCACCGAATTTTAAACACTTTTTGCTTTGTTTTTTACTCGTACAACAGTTTTATAGTTTTTTACTGGTTGGATCGCGCTCTTTGTGTCTAAGCCCTGTTCACCATGCATCAGCAGCCTTTTTTCACTAAGTAATTAAACAAGTCATTCGCTCTCGTAAACTTCACGAACGGCCGCTTCCTGCTGTGGTCGGAGGAAGCGGCCGTTGATGAAGTTTACGAGAGCTAATGACTTGTTTGATCACTCAGTGGGCTAATGGGATAATTAAGCTAAAGTACTCACGCGATCGCTTTGATAGGTCTGGTAATCTAGGTATTCATCGAGGGCCGATAAAAATTTCTTTTCATCCAGGGAAGACTTAATTGTAAACGCTTTGCAAAAACTACTCTTACCAACCATAGCTAAGGGTGATGTTGGAAGAATAGGTAGAATTTGAGGAAAAAACGGTTAAGTTTATAAAGGACACACTTATGAACCTGACCCAGGAGCTGAACATCTACTCTTAACGGGTTCTATCCAAGGTAGCCCACCCGAAACGACCCAAGTTCAAAAATTTTTCACAATATTCATGAAGCTTTTTGTTTTGAATCTGACTAGCATTACTCGTTCAGGCAACACATGCAAAAGTCGGCTACATTTTCGACCTTACCTGTTACTCGGCCGCCAGTTCATTCCGATTCCATCACGGCTATGGCAGTCGTTCGACCTGGCATGGTGATCACTGGAAGTCGTGATAAGGTAAGCTCAAACTATTTTTTTGATGAATTTCAACCCTCGTTAAAGGCACAGTTCGCGATCAAGGTGGTCCTGTAAGCTCTTAAGATACTGTGAGAAATTGTTATTTGTAAGAATCTACAGCCCTTAGGGAATCGCGGCTTATAGTTTGGCCCAAGCATAGCGCAATACGGGCTCAAAACTGGCCTCAAAGCTCATTGGCGGTAGATACCATCAAAGAAAGCCAAATCGATGAACTAAGGGAAGTTTGTGAAGGCCTTCCTTCTGCTTAGCAATTATCCATATTTTGGATAACAATCCCCACAGCTGAAGAGGTGGGTGAAGCGTCCCTCTGACGTTGAAAGACTTGACTGGGCCCGCCCTAATGCCTAGTCCTAGTAGTTTAATAAGCGAATCGAACCATGTACTTCTTGTGGTGCTTTCCTTCCTCATGGCGAATGCCGAACATCGACAATATTCGTCGTCTTCCAATAACTCTGGCCTCTTTCAACAGTACCCCCACTGCAAACCAATTCAGCATCACCCACATTCAATCGTTTTAGAATAGATCGCCTCTGAGAAATTTCCGGAAGATATTTGGAAGGGATGTAAAGCAAAACGTTGATTTGAGCCCTTCAATCCCTTTGGATGTCACTTTCATAGAATCATGCAAGGCCATTCAAAAGCAGCTTTTTAAGCTTACGTTAAGAGCAAAATCACTCGAACTGATTAATGCTTCCTGTAGCCTTTGATGCAAGTGGCTGTCCATTCTGAGAGAATGTCTATCAACTAAGAGTTGCTGATTATGAGATGTTTTCGTCCTTTACGCTGATTTCCTACCTATCGAGCTGTCCAGCTAGTGTTCTCGTCGCTCGGGTAATTTCCAACACTTTCACCAGACAACATCTAACATTATGAGCTACAGAACAATGGCAATTGACATCGAAGGAATTTCCATGGTTCTTTCAGAGCTATTATTTGGAAGTAGTAAACAAAAAGTATATTTTCAATAACACGGTCTTTACATAGTGTTGAAAGGCTTGTTTCACGATGGCAACAGTTTCAGAAAATTTCCTTTGAGGTGACACAAGGGGCGCTGCCGGTTCGAAAAACGGCGTAGATAGATAGGGTATAGCATGCCATGGACTTGGACACCTCGTCTAAATATGCACCTTTTGTCGTGATATTCTCGTCTATCGTCTTAGTCTGTCCCGGAAGTGAGAATGTTCGATTGCCCTGGGAGGATACCGATCAGGGATTTGGTCTTCGGTGGTAGTATGCCCACATTCTCGCACCCCAGCCCTCGCATTAGATGAATCCCCAAGAAACTGCTAGCATTCCTTTACTAGTAGAGTTGATACACGCAATTTTTCAGAAACTGCAAGCTTGCTACGGTAGGAGTTTCGTTCCTGTAAAAGCTTAAGTGTCTACTTTTTCAGAGTTTGGCGTTGAATAATGTGGATACCGGTGAATGTGTCACGAGGTGGATAGGCCACAATGCTGAAGTCACAAAAGTGAGAAGTGATATTTGTCTCAGCTCTAATTCGAATTCTTACATTGAGATCAGTGCGATCTGCCAGACTGGAGATTCCAGTTAAAGTATTTTAGTACTTTCAAAGACTTAGGTAAAATGCCACTGAGGATTCAATGAGTCTCAGAAATCGAAATTTTCGAGAGGCTTTTTGTATTTTCGGCACTAATCTTTAGCTCCAGCTTATGATTCACTATACAAAGATTTTAAAATATGTATCCTTAAGGAACTTCTTTGTAGGTTGCCTACGGTAATACGGTCGGCAATCACTTTGTCCTGAGCGGGTCTCGAGATCAGACCGTTAAATTATGGCAGTTCCATTCCCGAGAGGCGCAAAAGAGCTACGAAGGCCACTCGTTGGTGGTCACGGGGCTTGCTGTGATTAGCGGTATAGTATATAAGGTTTATCTTATCTGCCTACTCGGATGATTGAGTTTTCTTTTGCAGAGAATAAATTCGTGTCAGGTTCTCGGGACACGACGTTGAAGTTATGGGACGTAGAATCCACAAAGCGGAGCATCAGAAGCGCTCAAGTAAATCGAAATCTGGTCAGCTATTTCTTCTACTATTACATTACATTACTATCAAATATAGAAATATTCGCCTTATACGTTCATTTTATCAGATTACTTTGATGAGATCTTTCGTTTCAGGTCACACACATCACTTTCAGTACATGTTGTAATATCATAGCTCAGTCTTCTGAAGATAAGGAAGTGAAGTGAGTTAAGTTTTCCTTCCATGGCTGGAAACCGAGTGGATCTGATTCCATTCCAATTTCCATTCAAATCCCAGCGACGTTTCGCAAGCGATTGCGGCCTTCGCATTGATTTGCCGATGAACATGCCAGTGCTTTTAACCTCCCAAACAGGTCTGGTAACAATTATTAGGTTGTGAAGAGAGTTCTAGCCGTTATGTCAGCTATCTTTCGAAAAATCATAACTCATAGCAAAGTTAAAATTTTTATTCAAAGTAAGCCCCATTCGATTCCACACATTTTTGCCAACGTGATACAAGTCTGTAAATATCATGCTTATAAAAGCCCGGAGATCAGGATTTCAAGAACTCGAGAAAGGCAGCTTCCACGTCGTCTTGATTTTTGGATACACTTTCCTTTAAGAAGCTGTCCAGATGTTTGAATAAATGGTAGTCATTTGGTGACAGGACTGGTGAGTGGGGTGGATGAGGAGAACTTCGATTTGCAGTTTGTTCATTTTCTGAAAGACGATTTGTAACATATGCGGTCGTGCATTGTCGTGCAAGAGCAGTGGACCGTGGCGACTGGCTAGTGCTGGCTGCATTTGCCCCAGTTTCGTGTACATCTTGTGGATTTCATCACAATAGGACTATGCGGTGATGGTTTGACCTGAAGGAAGAAGCGCGTAGTGGAGATACTATTATCATTGTCTTCTTGACGTGTAAACTTGATTTGGGAAAGGTTTTTGGAAGCTCATCTACGCCTACCTACTGAGCAGCACGCTTCCTGTTATCATACAGGATCCATTTCTCATCACACGTTACAATACGTTGGAGAAAAGGCTCAACATCGTTTTTTCTCAACAGCGAACTTGAAACCTCTAAGCGCTTTAACTGTTGCCGCTCCGTGAGTTCATGTGGCACCCACTTGTCAAGCTTCCTCACCATTCCAAGCTGCTTGAGGTGGGCAGCGACGATGTGTGGGAGACGCCCATCTTCTTTGCAATCTCTCTCAAAGGTTGACGTCGATCTTCTTCGACTACTTTTATCAAAACATCATGATCAACTAACGATGGTCGACCCACTCGCTCTTCCTCTTCCAGTGACTCGTCTCCACTCCTAAACGTCTGAAACCAGCGACGAAACGTTCGCTCTGATGCAGTACCTTCTCCCCATGCAACATTGATGTTTGTAGCTGCCTCCTTCGCAGTTCGACCAAGTTTGAACTCGTGAACTAAAACCGTTCGAAAACCAGTTTTATCCATTCTGCAAAAAAAAAACCCTAAAGATTCCAAAACCTTACAGATTTCGAGAAAAGCGCTATGACGGAAAGGGCAATTATTGAATTACCCAAGGAGCACAATATGTCGATCAGTCTGCATGGACAGCCGCCAGAATTTGAATCCATATGGCGCGTCCGCAGGGACGGCCTGAACTTTCCTTACAACCTAACATATAACTTCATAGGTAAGAAGGGCTTGGTTGGTTAGGGTGGGTATTCCTTTGGACCATGCACATCTGACACTGCGCCATTTGGCATTACACTAGGCAGCACCTCCAGACTCAAACTCAAAATCTTCTATCCAATCGAGCTAATTCCTTCCGGATATTAGCGATATTTCTTTACAGGCTGTGGGATCCTCGAAATCTCGATATGGTTGCACAGCTACCACGGAAAAACCATATACAATTACATTGCGAGTTTATTGACGATAAAATGCTCGCCTCAACTAGCAACGGGTTTAACGGTGACGGTTGTGAAATTTCGGTAATTGTGGACTTTTCTTTTGAACGTTTATAAGTGAATCAAGAAATCAGTCGTTCAGATATGGGACCTGCGTACACGGAAGTTGTTGAGGGAATTACGCGGCCATGAAGGCTCGGTTCCATGTGTCGCTGGGCTAACACAACAGGTCACCCTGAAAAAATTACTAATGAGTGTTTCTGTGGACAGAACAATTAGAATTTGGAATATTGAAGATGGAGGTAAGAACGATTAAATTTTTGACAGTTTATTGGACTTTTCTCGATGGGAGTCCTATGCGCTCATAAGAACTATCAACAGTATAAAGGAAGAGATCTGACTCAGGCGTTCATTAGGCTCTGGCATTTACGGTTTGGCTCAGTACCAATGGCACTTTAATATATATGGTCACGTTGAGGGTGCTTGCTCATTAAAACTTGAATGCACAGCTCGCGATGAGAATTGATTCTGATCGTGAGATTCCCTTATAGTATGAACTCGAGACTCCTTCTCATCCCAAACCTGCCGTTATAAGCTCAAAAAATATCCTGGATAGAGCACAATAAGGGGGCCAGAGATTGTATTGTGTGAATGCCACAACCATGGTGGACGAGTTTCAACAGCACTGTCTCAAAGGACTCACATGCAGAAAATTCAAACATAATAGTACTTGTTTTGACTTGATGTTTTGATGAAAGAACAAGTACGGGTTCGAGTCCCGTCCGAGACTGGAGTTTTGCCCACAAATCGCCAACCTTGTGAGAAACCTTATGTGCGTTTTTTTNTTTTTTTCCTCTTCTGGGTTCGGCATTAGCGCTCGTACACTTAAGACATGGCAAGAAGGAAAGGACTCCTAGAAGGACAAATGTCCCTATTTTCAGTTGAATTTTTGTTCAAGCCCTTTGGAATATCTGGAACATGATCAGATCACAGGTTGATAGTGGTAAATATTCACACTACACCCATGCTACACATATTGAAATTTCGCATGATTAGATCCAGTAAGGAAGTAGTTACGACCGAGGAAGCATTTGGCCGAATACTTTTGAGCGTTACTGTATATCATATAATTTCTTCGTGTTTCTGTATGGATCGAGCCGACATGAATTTGTACTGAAAAGATTGTGACTTTCAGTCTGCGTCTGGGACGAAACCGTACCAACCGATGCTGATCTTCTTCAGTGTGTGTCGTTTAATGACGGCCAGTGAGTTATTGCCTTTTTGATGGCTCACATGCCGATCCCTATCCAAAAGAAGTAACTGCGGGGTAGTGGTAAAATAGGAGCAATATGCCGTGGAACGATTTGCATGACGGGAACAACCTTCGCCCACAGTTTCCTTAACATTACGGGTGTGAATGTATCTGCGAGGGGGACTGTTTGTATTTTGTTAACATTTTGAGGAACCAGTTCCAGGAAGCGTTCCCACGATTCCATGACTCTTCAACGGGCAATGTCCTAACACATGATTTCCTACCGATCCTCTATCTCTAGATGACGTATACTGCGCTACCGTAATATCAGTCCTTCTACGCGTATTCCTCTGGTGGTGCAACTTTTTTTCGAGCTTCCTTTCAGACTAAGAATCCGAGGGTAGAATAAGCGAATCCTTCCAACAAATGGCTGATCGGAAGTCGAAGTCTTACAGTTTTATGATTTCAGTGTTGTTGTATCCGGAGGAAAAGGTCTTCTGGCACATATACGAGTACAAGGCCGAGCTGGAAAACCATACTTTCAAATGCTCTCCATTCAGAAATCGATCTCATGAAGGCTCTTATTATCGGAGTCATGCTCAATCTGATCTCACCAGAATAAAGCTTTACATTTCATTTTATTTGTTTTAGTTAGCGCGGGATCTGAGTTCAAAAATATGAGCGTTGCACAAATAATAATAGCATCCTGGAAAGCAAAGTTTTGACTCGAACAGAAAAAGTTAGAGGTGACTTCTGATGCAGTCGAAGTTAGTAGAGGCTGATTTGAAACTAGTAAAGCGTAAAGTTAGGCATATCATTCCAGATTTTCTGCCGCTCTTTGGATATATCAAAACTGCTTGCGTATTGCTCAAAGTTCTTGTGAAGTGCGTAGAAAGGGAGCGCTGTTGGTCCAGAATCTTCCAGTCAACTTTCAACTATGTAGCGGTATGCTACGTACGAAGGGTCTTACTTGAATGGTTGGTCGGAATTGTAGAGAAAAAAAGAGAACCCAAAATTCATCTTGCCAGGTGTTCCTTTTTTCCAATTGGAAACTTCGGTGTAGCTCTAAAATGACTTACTGAACAGTATCAAGTCAATGCCAGTCAGCCGTTTCCCTTATTCCATACCTTCTTATGCAGTTGATGGATGTTGAGTTCTATATTTGTTCCTGGACCGGCAACAACAAACGTTTCCAGATCCCAAGCGATCAATGTAGACTGATAGCCGTTGTTTCTTGTCAGTAAGTTGCGAATATGGTCAAAAGCGCCGAGTACTTTAACGATTCCATGAAATTCGGATGAATAAAGGGCTGATTGTGTCTGTCTAACATCGCTACTTACAAAGTGTTCCCCTCCCTCACGAAGACAGTGTGAGGCTAATTTGTTTGTAGGGCTTAGTAGTGATTATTCATGATAATGCTGGTATCATCGATGGTTTAAAGATTGTAAAAACAACGACGGTGGGTTTCATTCAAGTTTCTAGATGCCCTCGGCAGCCATCGACGAAGGACCGTCTGAAAGGTAGGTCGGATTGGGCGACAAAAGCTGCTGGTCCTCCACTGCTCCGAACCGATATACATATGAATTCAGATATCTTTCGAGCAAGGACGAGTCGAAGGAAGATGTCCAACAGTATGAAGAAAGCCCGAAACCAGCGCATGCACAAAGAGACGATGGTTACTCCCAGAAAGAAAAGTTCCTCTTTGGTCTCACTGCAGTTCTGCCTATACTCGTCGGGGCAAGTTTCATTGGCCTCTACGACATGACCGTCGCTTCAATAATTTTCGCCTTAGCTGCATCCGTTGTGCTTGGAATTGGAGTAGTTGGAGTTTGCACGAAGAATTCAACATGCATGCTTATCTCTATAATTCTTTTGGTAATTTTGGTTGTTGGTAAAATTGTATTCCTATCCTACCGGCTTTACTGTGTTTTAACTAGCCAAAGGGAAAACTTGGAAGCGCATAAAGAATTCATTCATGGTTTAATCCTTAGCCCTTGTCACCTCGATCATCGTCATCTGTCTTCTTCGCAGAGAGTTATAGACCATGCTGCTGTGGCTATACACTACTTGTCGGCAATTACAAAAGCACTACTTTAATAAACGTTTTCTATTTCGTACGACTGGTAACTCATCGGTTTTATTCATGGACCCATCCTTGGTGTTTGCCAAACAGTAGGGAGTGAATGTTTTGTGCCGGACGCTTCTTGTAAAGAAAACACCAGAGATCTGTGATGTTTATCAGTCCCCTCTCATCAGATCAGATCAGTATAGTCCTGTTAATGTGTACATATTCGGTCTACACTATGGCATTAGGGAGTACGCCGATATACAAGTCTATGCTTCTCGAGACGGTTCCGGTAACAATTGGCCAGAGTACATGAAAGTGTTGTTAAGTTCAGGTGAGTAGCAGCTGAAGTTTGGGAGCCGTCATAGGGCCCGTCTAGACCCTGTCCGACTAGTTATGCAAATATGATGACACTGGGCTAATCAAACATAAAAGCATTATATTTAACGTCAAAATGGCGTCAGCTTGAAACCCATTTGCAATTCTTCCATGTTTAGTTGTGGTTTTTGAAGTGCAGGAGACGTAAGAGCAAGGTATCGTATAACTTGAATACCTATCGTTGATGACAGGAACGAA